AAAGCTAATTTAAATGTGTCCTTTGTCACAATAGCCAAGATATGGAATCAACCTAAATATACACGGACAGATGAATGGATAAAGATGTGCTACATGTACACAATGGAATATTATTCAGATACAAAAAAGAATGAAATAATGCCATTTGCAGCAACATGGATGGACCTAGAGATTATCATACTAAGTGAAGTAAACCAGACAGAGAAAGACAAATAGCATATCATCACTTATATGTGGAATCTAAAATACGACACACATGAACTCATCTACAAGACAGAAACAGGCTCATTCAGTTCAGTTCAGTCTCTCAGTCATGTCCGACTCTTTGCGACCCCATGAACTGCAGCACGCCAGGCCTCCCTGTCCATCACCAATTCCCAGAGTCCACCCAAACCCATGTCCATTGAGTCGGTGATGTCATCCAACCACCTCATCCTCTGTCGTCCCCTTCTCCTCCTGTCCCCAATCCCTCCCAGCATCAGGGTCTTTTCAAATGAGTCAGCTCTTCGCATCAGGTGGCCAAAGTATTGGAGTTTCAGCCTCAACATCAGTCCTTCCAATGAACACCCAGGACTGATCTCCTTTAGGATGGACTGGTTGGATCCCCTTGAAATCCAAGGGACTCTCAAGAGTCTTCTCCAACACCACAGTTCAAAAGCATCAATTCTTTGGTGCTCAGCTTTCTCCACAGTCCAACTCTCACATCCATACATGACCACTGGAAAAACCATAGCCTTGACTAGACGGACCTTTGCTGGCAAAGTAATGTCTCTGCTTCTTAATATGCTGTCTAGGTTGGTCATAACTTGCCTCCCAAGGAGTAAGCATCTTTTAATTTCATGGCTGCAATCACCATCTGCAGTGATTTCAGAGCCCCAAAAAATAAAGTCAGCCACTGTTTCCACTGTTTCCCCATCTATTTCCCATGAAGTGACGGGTCCGGATGCCATGATCTTAGTTTTCTGAATGTTGAGCTTTAAGCCAACTCTTTCACTCCCCTCTTTCACTTTCATCAAGAGGCTCTTTAGTTCTTCTTCACGTTCTGCCATAAGGGTGGCGTCATCTGCATATCTGGGGTTATTGATATTTCTCCCGGCAATCTTGATTCCAGCTTGTGCTTCCTCCAGCCCAGCATTTGTCATGATGTACTCTGCATATAAGTTAAATAAGCAGGGTGACAATATACAGCCTTGACCTACTCCTTTTCTTATTTAGAACCAGTCTGTTGTTCCATGTCCAGTTCTAACTGTTGCTTCCTGACTTGCATACAGGTTTCTCAAGAGGCAGATCAGGTGGTCTGCTATTCCCATCTCTTTCAGAATTTTCCACAGTTTATCGTGATCCACACAGTCAAAGGCTCTGGCATAGTCAATAAAGCTGAAATAGATGTTTTTCTGGAACTCTCTTGCTTTTTTGATGATCCGTAGAAAAAAGGCTTATGATTGATTACCAAAGGGGAAAGCAAGGGGTGGGGGTATAAATTAGGAGTTTGAGATGAACAGGTACTCATGCCCATGTATAAAATAAACAATAGATAATGCATAGCACAGGGAATGAGACTCAGTTTCTTGTAATAGTCTATCATGGAAAAGAATCTGACAAAGAACAGATTCTGGGCTCCCTCTTCATGGGCAGAACCCCTTGGAAGTGAACAGCACCCCGGCAGCACTGTTAAACCAGCAATCCTCAGGCTGTCTGACTCCCCACCTCCCTGCAGAAGCTAGAAAAGGGGGCAGTCACTGAAGTGGCTCCATTCTAGGACAAGTGTGAGTAGGCGGAGGCAGGGAGATTCGCCCCATTACTATTCTGGCCATTGTTTCTCCTGTGAAAGTGGCAAATTGACCATCTATCCTGACCTCTCATCTAAAAAGAGCCAGGACATCCTGGGGAAGGAAGTTAAGACCAGAGTGGCTGAGGGGGTAAGGGTGGGCCTGGCATCCACAGGCTCACACACCAGCCGGCTGCCCCCCAGCGCCACCCCTGCCCCATCTGTATGCAAGTCAGGCACTTCCAGCCAAGTAGGAAAGGAAAACCCAGAAGAGCAAGTTTCTGGTGACTGGGAAATGTGGAGAGCCCTGATAGGCCTGGATAACGATGAGCCTGCACAGGCCTGGCAGTCAGGAGGAAGGAGGCTGGGTCCATATTTCCACAGGCCTCTCCCAGGGGCTGAGGGCTCAGGCCTCCCCAAAGCTCTGGAGGTTAGGTAATTGAGTTCCTAAATGGATCAGAGTTGGAGCTCCAGACCCCTCATTTATGCCCGAGGACGGAAACAGTGGATTCTCCTGGGGACTTCTGGTTTCTTCTCTGTTGTTCCTATTCTTCCCAGCCACTGTCAGAGAAGGAACAGCCCTTTCCAAACAGACATCTGTCTTCCAGTGGATCTGCCTTTCTGGACCCCTGATGAGGTGGGGTAAGAGAATAAGGCTAGAAGATGCCCCCAAGGGGACCCACCATCCAGGGCTGCCTGGGACCACCTTGGGATTTAGCTCTGAATGTTCCTCCACCCCAGAAAGCTTTCACCCTGTCCTAACTGGGACAGTTTGTCACTGGCCCCCCGTCGAGTTTCCTTCTCAACCCTGGAGTCCAGGTGGAGAGACTCCCAAGGCAGTGACCCCGTCAGGAGATGTGCACGAGAGGAGGGTGTCTTCCTCTCCCCACAGAGAGCTCTTTATCTTCTGGCAGCAAAGGAAAAACTGGGCGTGGGCCTCTACCCTGTTGCCTCAGCTGCAGGACCGGGAGTAGGAGCTGGTCAGGAGACACTCACGCTAGGGGGAGAAAGCAACATTTGCCCTACTGCAGAGACGCCTGAAGCCCAGGCAGGCACTTGGCACCCTGACCTGCTGGCAACCGCAGAGCATCTCTGCTCCTCCTGCTGGGCCACGGGTCAGGTAGTGAAGGGGCAGTGGGAGAGAAGTGGGGTGTCACGCCCTGATCCCCGTACATATACACAGTGGTGTGCTGCTAGCGTTTAACAATGGGATCTCTGGGGCCTGGGAAGGCAGAGCCCAGATTTGCTTCATTTGCCCGTGTGTTTGGTGTAGACGGGTCATAGCTGATCTCCAGCTACCGATGTGAACGGGGACAGACGCACACTGCTGGCTCCACTGAGCCATGGAGACCGTGTCCCTGCGCCGCAGTGCTGTGTGTGCCTCTCTGGCTGTGTCCACGGAGTGACCTGGTCAGGCCTTGCACGGGGCACTTGAGATGGAGGAGGTTCTCACTGTGTGCGAAGGTGAGGCTGAGAGTTTTTTTGCTTGTTTTTCTTTTTTTAATGCTTTTATTTATGTATGTGTTTACTTTTATTAAAAATTTTTTATTGGCATATAGTTGATTTACAGTGTTGCCTTAGTTTCAAGTGTATAGCAAAGTGAGTCAGTTTTACATGTATCTATATCCACTCTTTACATTCTTTTCCTCTACAGGTTATTACAGAGTATTGAGCAGAGTTCCCTGTGCTAAACAGTAGCCCCTTGTAAGTTACCTATTTTATATATAGTACTGTGTATATGTCAGCCTCAGTCTCCCAGTTTATCCCTCCCCCATCCTCCCCCCTGGGTAAGCATAAGTTTGTTCTCTACACCTGTGATTCTACTTCTATTTTGTAAATAAGTTCATTTGTACCTTTTTTGTTTAGATTCTATGTATAAGCAATATTATAAGATATTTGGAGTCCAAGAGTTTTGAGCAATATTCACCAATACCAGGAAACCAACTAACTTGCTGTGACCTTAAACCTGTGAAATTGGATTTATCTAGAGGCGGGAATTGTAAGTGAAGGGATCAACCCTCAGGAAATGAATGATCTCATCATGAATGGTATCAGACCTATCCTATAGCAAGCTAAGGCAGAATCAGATCTACTTTATCTTATACAGTGAGAAATGGGGGGTATTGTGAGATACTCACTTTAAAAAAACTGTGAAAGGAAAGCAATGATTTTTTTTGTCACCACTAGAAAACATTATTTTTGTGAGTATAACCTAGAATCAATTATTAAACCCCTTTTGGATAAAACATAACATGTAGCAAATTTCAAAGAAGGTCGTTCATTTCATTTAATGATAAATAAAATGATGTTTGACCAGTTTGATGAAGACAATAAGTCAAACTTCAATGCTCTGGCATTAGATGTTGCACTAAACGACAAATCTTATTAAGGAGCTTTTTACATTTAAAATATGCAAAATGCAAACAAAATTTAGTAGTGAAAGTAAAATTAAATATTTAATGACATAATTAAGTCTTATTAATGGCATGTTCTTTATTTTACAGATTATATATTCACCATGATGATCATCTCTTTCATCTTTATTACTTAAGCAATGTGTTTTTCATAATTATTTGTTAGGTATTTTCATTAACATTTGATGAATATTAATAGTTAAAATAAAAAACAGTTTTTATTTCTGCTGTAATGACTTTACAGCGATAATAATATATAACTGTTTATAATGTGTTCTACTTGTTAATATTTAGATCCCTGATTTTGTTGCCACAGAGTGGAAATGTGGATCTTTGTGGGTGATAAATGACAATCGTCACCCTCTTCCATTATTCTTTTTTTATTTATTTAATCTACTATTCTTAATGTAGCTTCACTGTGGGAGAAATATGAATTGCAGACTCACAACTAAAACTAGTAAGTCGTGCTTTAGGTTTAATCCTATTCTTGTGTTAATAATGGCTTGCCTGTCTGTTTAGCGTCCTCATTCATTTCCCATTTTTAGTTCATTTACCTCCCTGTTTTGGTCCATCAGAGCTCATATGGCTCCGGGACAGTATCTCTCCATGACATTTAAGACTTAATATCATGGCCTCTCAGATATTTTTCTTCTGGGACAAAGGATAAGAATTTTCCATCCTGGACAATATGAAGCAAATGCCTGTGGATCTCCTAATTTTCTCCATTTAGACAGTGATCTTGGAGAGCCAACAGGAATGGGTCCAATCAACATGAGGGCACGAAAGGCATATGGTGACCGTCCTTTAGTGCATCCAGTATGGTGGCCACATTGCCATCAGCAGCATGGAAAGCTTGCCACCTCCGGGACAGCTCAGGAGCTGCATCGTCTCTATCTCCACCTCTGGCTCCCACTCCTCATGCTGCTGCTTCTGAAACCTTCAGTGCATTTTCACTGAGGATGACCGGCGGGAAGATTGAGAACAACGGTGGTGCACCCATCTCATGGTCAGGCAGGCTCACAGTCACATTTCTGCACAGTTCTGATCCAGACCTCTGCTCAGCATTCTGTGACAGGCAAGAGCAGGCATTAGAGTGCAGACAGAGTTGTGCTAATCAGAACAGTTTGCCCTTTGGCTTTCCTCAGAAAGCTTTTTCTCTTCTGCAGAAGGCATCTGCATTTTTAAAGCCACAGCTTGTTGGAAAGAGCTCTGAACCACAAAAATGTACAGGAAGAAGGAGAGTTTCTAGCCATGAACAATCTATAGGTAATTTACAAGAATCCATATGTATTTCAATAGAAACTACAATTTACTGAGAACTTGAAAAAACCCTGTTGCTGGGAAAGATTGAGGGCAGGAGAAGAAGGGGACGACAGAGGATGAGATGGTTGGATGGCATCACCAACTCAATGGACATGGGTTTGGGTAAACTCTGGGAGTTGTTGACGGATAGGGAGGTCTGGCGTGCTGCGGTTCATGGGGTCGCAAAGAGCGGGACACGACTGAGCGACTGAACGGAACTACCTTCTGGAAGGCTACTTCTAGTGAAAACTCTGCGAAGAGGGAGTGATCACCCCATTTTATGGACACACGGAAACTTGCTGTGTTTCTTGGACGCTCAAAGGGTTCACAGGTGCTGATGGGCACAGCTGGGATTCAAAACCAGGTCTTTCTGGCTCAAAATCCTGTGTACTTCTTACCATCATGTGATCTTACCTCCCTCATCAGCTATTCCTCTAGGCAGTCATAGAAGACGCAAGCCCCTGATAAATCTCAGTGTTAAGAAAACCCAAATATACATATAACTGCCTCATTTTGCTGTACACTGGAAACTAACACAACCTTGTAAATCAACTATACTCCAATATAAAATAAAAATTAAAAGCAAAAGCCAAACACACACAGGCAGAGCAAGAGGGTGAGGTGCCCTTTTCATGAAGCCAATGCAGGAGCCAGGTATTCTCGAAGACACCACTGCAAGTGGCCCCGGCCCCACTGCCGGCCCCTTAGAGACATGCCAACCATCCAGCCCTGGAGGGGAAACACTGTGCTCTGCTCTCAGATTTTTATGTGGGGGCATTAGACACCTGGACCAGCCTTAGGTGTCTGTGGGTTCCCCAGCCTCCTACAGACAGCTGTCCTGAAATCTCTAAAACTCAAAATTTGGGACCTCCCTGGTGGTCTAGTAGTTAAGATGGCTCTTTCAATGCAGAGGGCACAGTTTCAATCCCTGGTTGGAAAACTAAGATCCCACAACCCCGAGGGCAAAAAATAACGAAATAAAATAAAATAGCTAAGCAACAGGTAGCTAAGTTGCTTCAGTAGTGTCTGACTCTTTGCAACCCTATGGGCTGTAGACTCTGGCCATGGGATTCTCCAGGCAAGAACACTGGAGTGGGTTGCCATTTCCTCCTCCAGAGAATCTTCCCAACGTAGGGATCGAATACGCATCTCTTATGTCTACCTACAATGGCAGGTGGGTTCTTTATCACTGGTAAGCCCCAGCAACAAGTGTTTACAATAAAAAGTAAAATAAAATTCAAATTTGTATAGTATGTGCTCAGACCATTCACGCAGAACAGTTCTGGCTATTTCCAACAATGACATCTGCTCCCTCTTCGCTAAGGGCCCAGCTGTGAGTGTCCGGCGCTGCCAAAAGCAAGCAGAGACTGTGACAGAGGGGCTCAATCCACACCACGCCCTCGGAAAGCCCACGGGCGCAGGGGGCAGTGCCAAGAACACGTTTCAGCACGATCCACGGCCTTGGTTTCCCCCTTCTGGCTTTGGGCGCGCCCATCAAGAGCAAAGCCCACAGGGGCTCCGCAAGGACAAATACGGGATTCCTGCTCCCTGGGGTGAGCGGGCAGCTCAGCCGGGGCCGCACACGCTGACGTCAGGCCGGCCCCTCGCTCTCCTGTCACGTCTCTCCTTGCGAGCCTGCAGGGTGACCATGTTGTTTATTGCCTCTCGAGCCCCAGCGCCATATTTGGCGCTGCACGCAAGATTGATGGATCCTTCCTGTCAGCGGCCTCACGGGGCGGCCGCTCCCCAGGCCTCCTCCCCCCGCCCCGCCCGCCTCCCTCCACCTTCCAACCACCCCAGCGGCTCCGAGCAGGCCTCGCCACTGGCGGCCGCAGACCCTTTTGAAGAAGCCGTTTCCGAGAGAGGAGAGAGCCGATGACAGATGCCCAGTTGGCCTCCGTGGTGAGGAACGGGCCGGCCCCGTGAATCATCTGCATTGGAAGCTGCTGACAGCAGTGGAGCCTTTCCGGAGTCATCTCCTTCCCCAGCTGGCCTCGGCTCTCTCGTCTTCAGAGGGAGCGGGGCTTCCGGGCAGAGAGGCCTATTCCGTGGGTGGGGAAAAGCTGAGATGCTGCCCTCAGTTATACTGCCTGATGGAGAAGAGGCCAGTTTAGAGAGCGGAAACCATTTTCATTGTGCCCTAAAGCTTCACGGTGACTTGACTTCCGCATTGGTCCTACAGAATTGTTGTGGCGTGGAATAAGGAAGCAGACTTCCGGAAGTTGAAAGACAGTGAGGTCGAGGGTTGGTGTCTGACTCAAGAGGCTGAGATGCCCCGTCCTTGCTCTGTCACTGAGCATCAGTGAGTCCTCAAACTTAACTGACACCTCTCATTTGGAGGCCAAGCTCGCTGAGCCCAACCCAGTAACACCAGTTTCACTAACTAACTGAAGATAAAGAGAGGTTTCCGGAGCTACACCTGGAAGTTGAGAGCCTGAAGTTGCAGATGAATGGGTGAAACGTGGTGAGTACCCGTGACTTGCCAGGCTCTGTGCTGTCTAGGCCCTCCCCAGGTCTAGAAGCTCATGGGTCAATACAGTGGTTGTGTGGTTTTGTCAACACCAATCAACCAGTTCTTCAAGTTTCTCTGATACCAACAGGGTGTCCTACAATTCAGTCCAGTTCTGACACTAACTGCCTGGAGTTGGCTCAGGAACCCCCCACCCGCCCCTGCCACACACACCCCCACCCAAGGTCAAGGGCTCAGTGCTGTAAAACTGCTCCCACTTCAGACACCAGCTGCAAATGGGGTCCCCAGCCCACTTGCTCTTCTGGGCAGCTGGCTACAAATTCAGTGGTTCCCATGACCTACCTTCAGGTTCTATAATACACTACAAGGACTCACTGAAGTCAAGACTTATGATTATTGTTTATTGTAAAGGAGAGAAATGAACAGTCAAATGAAGAAGTATTTACATTGGACAAGGTCTGGAAGGGTCCCCAGCACAGGAGCCTCTGTTGGGTTGGGGTGCACCACTCTCCCAGCATGTGAATCTGGTTTCCAGATTGGAAGCTCCTGGATTTTAGGGATTTTTATGGAGGTTTCATTAAGTAGGTGTGACTGATGAAAGCATTTTGGCCATTGGAGACTGAACTCAGTCCCCAACCCCTCTCACCTCCATGGAGGTGATGCTGAGGTGGGGTGGGGCTGAAATTTCCAACCCTCTCACTACATGTTTGGTTTTCCTGGGAACCCCCATGAGCCATCTCATTAGCATAAACTCAGGTGTGGTCAAAGTGTTATGAATAACATTCCTATCACTAGGAAATCCCAAAGGTTTTAAGAACTCAGTGCCAGGAAATGAGGACAAAGGCCAAATATATCTATGTTTTTTTTATCATACCACAAGAAATCAATCCTGAATTCATTGGAAGGACTGTTGCTAAAGCTGAAGCCCCAGTACTTTGGCCACCTGATTCAAAGAACTGACTCATTGGCAAAGACCCTGATGCTGGGAAAGATTGAAGGTGGGAGAAGGGGATGACAGAGGATGAGATAGTTGGATGGCATCACCGACTCAATGGACATGAGTTTGAGCAAGCTCTGGGAGATGGTGAAGCACAAGGAAGCCTGGCTGCAAAGAGTTGGACACGACTGAGCAACTGAACAACAACAGGTAGACAGAAAGGTGATTGCATGTGGTGGTTGCTCTGAAGGGCTAAGGAAAGGTGATCCTGAGCATCCCTTCCTGCTGACCAGGGAGGCCGTATAAAGGAAGTGATCCATGAGGGAACTGTAAATGCAAAGGTTCGCTATGGCCACAGTGCAATGTGCATTTGAGTCCTGATATCTGTATGACCTTGGACAGGTGACCTGCACCTATGAGCCTCCATCATCCCATCCATAAATGGGGCTAATAATGGCAATATTCAGAGTTAATATGGGACATAATGAGACTCTTTAAGGACAACATTCACACCATGCCTCACACATATGAATCATTTGGTGAATTTAAGCTGTTGATACTGGGTGATGATGTTGATGATAAAGGAAAATTTCAGAGGAATAGTGAGAAATTGTATGTGGCTGAAGCACTTGACAGAGAATTAGCCCCAGTTACCTTGTGATTCACGAGACCTCTGCTTACCACAGGCAGACCACCGGATAACTGGATCATAGACAATTACTAAGTGATCCTTTGGGGGCCCTTGCCTCTTTCTGCCATGGACACTGCAGGGCTCCCCTTTCTGTAACAGCCTCCTTAAGACCTCGAAATTGTGCCTAGTTTATCTGGCAATGGACCCAAATTTGATGATGGCCCTAATTAGAAAGAGCTACTGTTTAAAACAACAGCCATAAAAGAAACCAAAAATATTTTTTTAAACAAAGCAAAAACAGTCTGTATCTAATCAAAACAGGAGAAAGAGAGCCAAGTTTTTGTGAGGCAGGCTTCCTGCTTGGAGTAGATATGCCTGAAATAGGACCATGGGAGCCTAGGGCTTGGGGTGCCCCAGAATCCATGAGTGAGGGTAATGAGGAGACCCTGAGAGTGGAGATGGCCTACTTGTTGGGGTCTTGTTGATCTGGGTGGGCCCTGGGCTGGTCTTGGGAATGTGGCCAGTTGAGACAGCATGGAGGATATAGGTGCTCCCTGGGCTGTACTTGCAGCTCCTCCATCTTACAGAGAAGACAGGAGTGAACAGTAGTGGAAGATTTCAGGCTGGTTGCCCTTTCTCTGGGGCTTCCCAGGTATAGCCCTAGTGGTAAAGAAACCACCTACCAATGCAGTTCAGTCCCTGGATTGGGAAGATCCCCTAGAGAAGGAGATGACAACCCACTCCAGTACTCTTGCCTGGAGAACCCCATGGACAGAGGAGCCTGGTAGGCTACAGTCCTCATGGTCCCAGAGAGTCGGACACGACTGAAGCGACTCAGCACAGCACAGCCCTTCTTCTGCACACCCACCACCCAAGGTGGCATCTTCCCCTCCCTGCAAAGAAATGCCCTGTTTGGGGCCTGAGGCTGGAGTGGGTCCACCACCCACATCTTTATAGCATCCTAGGTGCTGCTCTGCGAACCCAGGGCTGGGAGTGCAGGAAGGGGGCTGTCAGGCCTTGGGTGCAGGTCCCTGGACTTCTGTGATCCATATATCCCATGCCAGGACCAGAACTGTGGTAAATTCAGCCATGGCCAAGTTCACTGCTGCCTTTTGCTCTGGGCCAAATGCAAGCCAGTGGTGGGTCCTGGGTTTTTAGCTTGTTTCTGGATGGATATCACCTTTCTATTCAAGAACAAGGAAACCTGGGAGGAAATGCTGGCAGTTGGGGGCCTTGCACTCTCCTTAGCCTACAGCCTGCCTGGCACCCCCCAGGAGGGCCCCCAACCAGAAAAAACAGGACTTCCCCCACTTCTGGAGCTCCTCTGGAGGCCAGGGCACACATGGAGGGGGCCAGGCACTGTGCCAGATATTAAGGAAGCAGAGACCCCGAAAAGGAGACCAGACCAGGAGCGTTCACCCTCAAACCTGGGTACGGGGCACACAGAACTGCTTATGAGCTTTGCAGGTACCCAGGCCTCGCCCCTGCGGTTCAGATTCACTGTCAAAACCGCCCTAGGAGCTCATACATAGATGGTTGAGGCCCATCTTTGAGGAATCACTGACTAAAATGAGCTCAGAGGACGAAGACACACCACAACTTGGGAGTCCTGGGTTTTAGGAAGCTAAGTCTGGAGGGATTTCTTGGCGTGGTACCCAAGCCAAGTGAATCTTAAAGAACGAGGAGGAGGAGAGGATGATGGAAATGGAGAACGGGCAGGATGTTCCAGGCTAAGTGCCACAGCAGTGAGGGGACTGTGGTGTAAACACCCCACGGGGCAGGGCGGGCCTCGTGGACCGGTGACCTGAGCATAATAAGTCCCTGACATTCAAAGGAGTTTCTTTCCGAGAATGGGTTTGTAAGTGCAATATGTTCGTAAGTCCAACAACATTAGCCTAGGTGCCCAACTAACATAAACGGCTGTATATAGTATACTGTATATGTACTATAGCACAATATTATAATAGATTTATAGTACTTTTCACACAAAGACACTGTACCACTGTACCCTATTCAGTACTGTACAGTGAAGTACACAAAAGTATGACCACTTGTAAAGGATGCACACCCGTGGCAGTGTAAGTCAGACACGTGAACTAACATATGTGATTGGACTTGTTCGAATCTTTGAAAGTTCACAACTTGAAGGTTTGTAGATGACTTACTACAGTCACACAGGCCCTGTGCTTGGAGTTTAAGGCCCTGCTGACAGCATTTTCAAAGCCTCAATTTTTAAAAATGGTTTATGTATGTATTCATTTTTGGCTGCACTGAATCCTAGCTGCTGCGCACAGGCTTTTCTCTAGCTGTGGTGAGCGGGGGCTACTCCCTAGATATAGCGTGTGGTTTTCTGCTTGCGGAGGCTTCTCTCGTGTGCGTGGGCTCTGGGGCACACAGGCGTCGGTAGGTGCGCTGCACAGGCTTATTTGCTCTGTGGCATGTGGGATCTTCCCAGACCAGGGACTGAACCTGTGTCCCCTGCATTGGCAGGCGGGTTCTTAATCACTGGACCACCAGGGAAGTCCTAAAATCCTCAGTTTTATCTTTGAGTTTGTGTTTTGAAGGAAGTTCCCTTGCCCTGTGGGGGTCGGGAAATGGCGGGAAGCCCAGGCTTGAGCTGGGAGGAGTAGAGATGGCTAAAGAGAGACGCCCCCAAATGCAGGTCAAAGCGCTTGGATTTTGACCCAGAAGGAGCAGAGTTTAAGAGGGAATGAAGTAGTTAGGTTTGCATGCCGTGATGACCGCTCTGGGACCTGGGTGAGTCTACCCACAGGTCGAGGGGCCTCGAGAAGGCCACCAGACAAGGCCAGGATGCCAGTGGCAGCTGGAGAAGGGGCAGTTGGGAGAAATAAGAGGTGAGGGTTTGGAATTGGAGAAGGGGACAAAAGAGAGAAAAGGCAAGGATAATTCCCAGATTTCTAGCTGAGCCACTGCCTGACTTGGTGTTGTTCAGTCACTCAGTCATGTCAGACTCTTTGTGACCCCATGGCCTGCAGCACACCAGGCTTCCCTATCCTTCACCACCTCCCTGAGTTTGTTCAAACTCATGTCCATTGAGTCAGTGATGGCATCCAACCATCGCATCCTCTGTCGCCCCCTTCTCCTCCAGCTTGGGATGTCACTAACGGAAAGAAATGTCCTGCTGTTTGTTTCCTTGTTCATTTTCTCCTCTGCAATGGTATTTATGCTAAGAGTCAACATTGTTCACCTTTGTCAATAAGAGCTGTTTTCCAATGTACAAATAACTCATCCTTTAAGAGAAAAACACAGATGGAGAAGCTATAGTCTGGTTCCAAATTCATCCACTTCTAGATATCCCTAAAATTATTTGCTGGACAGAGAGCTTCAATAACAGACCTAGAGTTTCATTTGTTTCCCCCCCCCCCCCCCCCGTTTTCTATCCTGAATATCAGTTATTTTTTTTTTTCTTTTGCTAGAAACCCAGCACTGACCTTGAAAATATCACTCATGTTTAAACACACTCTGGTTGTTTGACCAGGCATGGAGAGCTGCTTGAGATGTGACCTCAAGACACCCTTGCTCCAAAAGCAGCTGCCTATGGGGCTCAGCCCAAATGGGCAACCGTCCAGTGGATCTGAGGCTCGGGGAAAAGAAATCTAAAGTTAATGCATTTATCCGAGCCCCTTTGATCTGGAATCAGGCTGACAATCCTGTGAGGCCAGAGTTGCCCACAAGATTTTCAGGCTTTCCTCCTATTCAGCCGTCTTCCCTCTGGTGTCTTATAACTTGAGCTTTGAATAACTTGATATATACAAATTAAAATCACCCCGAACTATGAATGAAAGATTTTTAAAAGAAAAAATAGATTTTGTTCAAATTAGACATCCTGAAACTGAGAATCACCAGCTTCCTTTGAGCTAGTTTATTTACAGCAAGAAAATTCAGCTACGAAAAAAGCTTACATCAACCACACTGCTCTCACAGGAGGCAGCAGGAAAACATTACTTTTAATAAATAATAATGATTCAACAGATATTTTAATAGCATTTTTCCTACTTCTAAAAGTAATACATACAGATTGTAGATATTTTGAGAATACAGAAAAGTGCAGGATGAAAAACAAAATCACTCATAAACCATGACACAGAGATAATATTGTTCATGTTTTGATGTGTTTCTTCTCAGCTTTCTTCCTGTGAACACATTTATAAATTCTTTTCTAAAGCATTCTAAAGGTGGAGATCATGGATTAAATGATAACATTCATTTGAAAACCAGATTGGTTTCATAGCTATATTTTTTCTAATCAAAGAAATAAAGTATGGTCATAAAAGAAAACTTGTAAAACAGAGAAAAATCACAAAGGAAGACAACAAAAATCCCTTGGATTCCAACCAGAGAAAACTATGATTAATGTTTTGCTGGGTACCTTCCAGTATTTTTTCCATGTGTGTATGTGCCTTTCTTATTTATTAAAGAATATCAAACAGTGTATCCTCTTTTACTGTTCGCATATTTCATGGAGTGATACAGAATGAATAGTTCCCATAAGAATAAATGTTTTTCTACAACGTGATGTTTAATGGCTGCCTAGATGGTATCCCTCTTTATAGATTTATAATAATTTACCTACCCAATGTACTTTGTGGGACTGATAGGTTGTTTGTAATTTTTATTTTTGATAGAAAATGCTAAGTTGCCTCTGGAATAATGGTACTAATTTATATTTTACTAATTTAAGCTTTTGAGAACATGATTTTACGGTAAACATAATAATCTGTGTTGTCATTTGGGACAATTAAGGCAGAAACCAGTATTGTTGTGAGGGCTGCACAGAAAGTCCATGGGCAGAATCACCTTCGTCTAGATCAAGGGTATATTTTTGCATGCGCTTATGCTTGGGTTTCCCTGGTGGCTTAGACATAAAAGAATCTGCCTGCAATGCAGGAGACCTGGGTTTGATCCCTGGACAGGGAAGATCCCCTGGAGAAGGGAATGGCTACCCACTCCAGTGTTCTTGCCTGGAGAATTCCGTGGACAGAGGAGCCTGCGGGCTACAGTTCATGGGGTCATAAAGAATTGGACACAACAGAGCAACTTTATGCATATTCTCACTTAATTCTCACAAAAAAGAGTTATTTTTAATCCTTATTTCCAGATAAAGAAAATGGGGCCCAGAAACGTCAAAAACAGCTGCCTTTCCCATTCATTGTACTGTGGTGTCTTCGTGACCACAGACTTCCATATCTGCACAGACAATCCAGCTGTGCTGCAGTCTGAGAATCCTAAAGTGTAACCCACTTTTACAAACATCAAATGCGTCAAACCCTTGCAGAAACAAATACTTGATTTTAAATAAGTCAATAACAAACCCCCCCACTTCTTTGATAAATGCAACACGAAAGATCCTGCCCCTGGATTTATTTTTTAGTTAAAAATAGCTCCCAGGTTATGGCCTCTTTTGGGGAGATGGCTAGGGTGAGGGGAGTGGAGCGAGTTTGAGAAAGAGAAGAACAACGTCTTCAGACGATGAGCAAGGTGTAAGAGCTTGTCTCTTAAGTCTAGATTGGCAGACCTCCCGCATTGACTCAGAAGGAGGGAATTTGCTTTGGTTTCCTAACTGAGTTGCCTTGTTTATCAGCCACAGGGCAAGAGACATGCCACAGCAGTGAAATAAAGTTGACATGTCATACTGGGGAAAAGGGGGTTATTCAACAGGCTGAATCACTCACTGTTGGACTGCAGGTACGGGAGAGACACCTTGCAGAGACTCAGAGCGAATGCGGAGCAACCGTGGGTGAGTAACAAAGAGCAACAGGTCTGCGGGTGACCTAACACTCCCGAAGTGTTTTGAAATTCCTGGATTGTAAAAATGAGAATGAAAAAGTTTCCAGCACATGTATATTCACCTTTGCTTTGTAACAACTCCTGGGCATGTGTCTGGAGACTTAACAGACACACAGAACAGACTTGTGGTTGCCATGGGGGTTAGGAGTCGGGGGAGGGATGGATTTGGGGTTTGGGCTTAACAGATGCAAACTACTATATACGGGTAGATAAACAACAAGGTCCTACTGTACAGCACAGGGAACTGTATTATTCAATATCCTATAATAAATCGTAATGAAAAAGAATATATATGTGTGTATATATGTAAAACAACCACTTTTCTATAGAGCAGAAATTAACACAACATTCTCTATCAGCTATACTTTAATAAAATAAATTTTAAACATTTTCTCACTGATGTCCACATGTAGCCCATCTAATTATCACAACAGTCCTGCAAAATTAGTTTTATTATTCCCCTTTCTTGGACCACTTAGGTCTCAGGAAAGGTTGAGGTTTAGTGAGGAATTTGCCCCAATAGAATTTGCACACATGTGCAGTCAATTACCTCTTAGTGAATACAACTATTAAATGAGACAATACTTTGAAAATCAAGTTAGTAGGAAATCATATTAGAATCAAGACACACTTGAAAAAGCATTTATTTCAAACTCCTCATTTTATAGATGTAGAAACTGCATTGCAAAGAGGTGAAGTAACTTGCTTGATGTTAGGCAATTGG